CGGTCCCTGTGCTTTGCTTAGCTTAGCTTGTTCTAAGTAGGTGCTTTAGACCACTGAGCCATCTCTCCAGCCCTGATTTTTATTTTTGTAGGTATTTTTGGTTTTTGGGTTTTTTTTGAGACAGCATTTAAAATTTTTTTTTTTAAAGGATCCCTATTTTCTTATTTATTTATTTATTTATTTATTTACTTTTTTGTGTGTGTGGCCACCTCAGCCCACCAGGGGGCAGGGCTGACTGGCATGTGGTGCTGGGAGATTGAACCGCGGTCCCTGTGCTTTGTTAACCTTGTTCTAAGTAGGTGCCTTAGACCACTGAGCCGTCTCAACAGCCCCATGAGACAGCGTTTTGCTGTGTAGTTCAGGCTATCCTTGAACTCATGCGTTGCCCACCCCTAGCCTCCCCAGTGCTGGGATTACAAGCATGTGCTACCACCCAGCTACTTTATATAATAACTGGGTTTTCTCTAAAAACTCTGCTCATGTTGCCCATTGTATGTGTAATACTCATATATGACTTAATCAATTTTGGCCAATTTAGCTTCTAAATAGTATTGGATCTGCAGAACTAAGGCTAAAGAGTAAAACTGCATACTTAGGAAGGCTGTTTCTGTGCCCTCTCTTCCGTCTCAGGTCACCATTCTCCAAAGCACTCTCCAGGCTGCAGATGCGCGTGAACCGAATGAGTCCTCTGCTTCCAAAGCAGGTAACAACTATATTATGAGACCTTCTCACTGAGGCCAAACTGAAAATCACAATGAAAATTATTAGAAATTTCATCCCACCATACAGTGATAACTAGTGACCATTGTGTTGAGTCTAGAAGTCTAAAATCTTTCTGAAGGGCCAGTGAGGTAGCTCAGCAGACTAAGTGTCTGCCCAAGCGCCAGGGCTTCATCCCCAGCACCACATGCCGCGCCTGCTATGCTCCCAGGCACACTGAGCTGCCACCAAGAGACCAGGTAACGGTAGCACATGCCTGTAATCCCAGCGCTGGGAAGGCTGAAAACAGGAGGATCACTATCAGTCGGAGCTACATAGTGAGATCCTTTAGCAAATATGTTAAAATAAATAAATAAATAAAATCTTTCTGAGATTCTTGAACTATTCAGAAAATTAAAATGTGCAGTTTATAGTTTCTCTTTCCCTTTTTTTCTTGTTTTATTTTTTATTTTTTTAAATTTTATTTATTTATGTGTGTGTGTGTGTGTGTGTGTGTGTGGCCAGCTCAGCCCACCTGGGGGCGGGGCTGGCTGGCATGTGGTGCTGGGGGATTGAACTGCAGTCCCTGTGCTTTAGCTAAGCTTGTTCTAAGTAGGTGCTTCAGACCACTGAGCCATCTCACCAGCCCCTTAGCTTGTTTTAATATATCGTTTTCGCTTGACACAATAATTGTACATATTTATGGAGGACAGTATGGCTTTTTATTACATGACACCCATCACCTCACCATTTCTTTGTAAAAATCCTCTCTTTGAATTATTTTGAGATATAGTTTTATCAACCTTAGTTATCCCACTGAGCACATTAAAATTATCCTCTACTACACTCCTGTACTCCTTAACTGCCCTCTTTCTCTCCTCCCCTCTCCCACCCTTTCCCAGGCTTTGAAAACCTCAGTGCAGTATTGTTTTGTGTGGGTTTTTGGTTTTTTTTAAACTATATTTAGTACATAGTGTCACTGTGCAGCTCCGACTCATGCCTGGTCTTGTCTTGTTGGCTGGCTCAACACACCCAGGGGCAGGGCCTGGGTGCAGCCTATGGGTACAGGGGATGGAACCCTAGTCCCTGCTGTTTTGTTCTTGTCTGTAATTCAGAATTACCTTTACTTTTAGCCAGGTATGGTAGTGCACATCTATAATCTCAGCACTTGAGTAGCTGAGGCAGGAGGACTGCCATGGTCTATACATAGTGAGTTCAAGGCTTACCTGTACCACATAAGACTCTCTGTTAAGAAAAAAATTACCTTTTTTTTTCCTTTCATTTTTTTTTAGACTTTATTAATTTACTTTTAATTTTAAGTAGAATAAAAAACAATAAAAGCAATACAGAGCTTCAAAACAAGAAGATAGGAGATTAACAATAGTTGTTATATTGCATATTGTTATCTTCAAAGGAGTTGCTCAGATCACCAGGCAGGCAAAATTGATCAAACCATATAAGCACTAACTGCTGCTTTCAATTAACTAATAGAAGTTAGTAGTACAATTGTCTTATCTTTTTTCCCTCTTTCTTTTCTTCTTTCTCCCATCCCATCCTTTCATTTTTTTTTTCCTTGTTTTTTGAGACAGGGTCCAGGTGGCCTTGAACTCACTACATAACCTAGGCTGGCCTTAACGCATGGCAGTCCTCCTGCCTCTGCCTCTCAGTGCTGCGACTTCAGGTGTGCACCACCACGCTCACCTTTTACCTGTACATTTAGAATGTGTGGTATGTTATAACTAAAATATTTAAATTTGATTTAAGGAATGGGTAAGGATGATTTCTGGTTCTGACTAAACACACTTTTATCAGAAAATAGAGACAATCCAAAGGAACATTCAGGAATTGATTCTGCCGAAAAGTGAGAATGACTGTGCAGGTGAAATCCTACCAGTTCCCACATAGTGATCCTGATAATTCATCCTATACTTACTACATACTTTCTTTCTTCTTCCCTTATTTCTCTTGTAGTTTAGGAATCTGAACTCTGCAAGGCTAATAATGCTCATACTTGTAACTCGAATAGAAAAGGGGTGGGGGGCAAATTGCTCAGCGAATTAAAGCGCCTGCTTGGTTCGGTTGAATCCCTGGCTGCCCTGCCAGCCCTATCCCTGGGGCACGCTGAGACTTGGATTGAGACTGGGCGTGGTGGCACACACCTGTAATGCCAGCGCTTGGGAGGCTGAACACAGACAGATCACTACGAGTCCGATCTCTGTAGCGAGACCCTGTAGACCCTGTACTGAAATACAAAAAAAAAAAAAAAAAGAGAGAGCTAAGTTAACTCTTCATAATGAATTTTTATTTGCTATCTTAGGTGCAAAAGTAAGCAAAAAAGGACCGTCAATGAGAAAGAAGGAGAGCAATGCTGAGCAGTACCAACAAGACACACAAGCACTTATCCTACAAGTATGTATTCTTTTTAGCAGATGGAGGCAATTTTTTTTCGATTAAGGCAATTTTTATCCTACATTTGGCTTTATATGCCATACCCTGGGTGTCATGTACGTATCTCCTTGCAGATATGATGCATTTAGGCAACATGTGCTGAGAAATTGAGGTGGTTCCTAATTTTTAAGCCCTTGTATATTTGTATGTATTTATGTATGTATTTATTTTTAATTTTTGGTCTTTTTGAGACAGGGTCTCACTATACAGTTCAGGCTGGCCTTGACCTCACTTGTAGCCCACCCAGGCTGGTCTCTCTCAAGGATCCTCTTGCCTCGGCCTCCGCAAGTGCTGTTGTTATAGTTGTGCACCTCCATGCCCACCCTAAGCCCTGGTATTTAAAAACCATTATTCTCTGTTGGAACATTTTTTTTTCTTCAGTATTTGAGATTTTATTGGTTGTGTTGAGGATCAGTACACATGATTCACTTTGTACACAGTTCTTAACACACATACCAAAAAAAGCCATATATTGTTTTTCAGTTGTTCCAGTGACTTTCCAGCTTCAAATTTAGAGGCAAATTTTCTGTAAGAGGATTAAGTACCAGTATCTTCAAATGCTGACA